CAGTGTGTAGGGTTTAGGTTTTAGGGCCCCGCGGATTTGTCGGCCAGCATCACGCGGCACATGGCTGAGCGGAGGGAAAACGAGCCAGCACATGCCTGATGATAACGAGGCTGCGAAGACATCTTAAGGTTTAGGGTTTAGGGGTTGGCTTTGCTTCGGCTATCTGCTGAGGCCAGTTTTTCTCGTTTTTGCCATCCCACGGGTCCGAGTTGCTAAGCCTTAAACACGCCTTCGCAAAGCGCGCCACGGTCGCCCCAGACTCTCTGTAGGAACACGAGCTTCAGCAGCTGATACGAGTCACGATTGAATTGTCTGGTTTTAGGTTGTGGGTCACTTTGAGTTTAGAGTTCGGGGGTTTCAGGCTTTTGAGGATGCGGGGGTTTGGGATTTACAGGATTACACTTTTGGAATGTCTGGGCAGATGAGTTTAATGCGAGGTTTCTCTGGTGTTTGTAGGTTTGGGCATTTAGGGCTTAGGGTGACGGTGGAACCCCGCGAAAATCCTTCAATACTTGTCGCAAGGCTTGAACACACGTGTAGCCCACAGCGGATGCCCAAGCCCTAGAATTTCACGGACCTCTTTTGCCATGCAGTGGGTTTAGGGTTTAGGGTTTAGGGACGGCGAACTGAGCCCTAAACCACTGGACCATACTAGACCCCTAAAACCTAAACTCCTAAGCCCTAAACCCTACACCCCTGAGCCCCTAAACCCTAAACCCCTTGAAAGACCCCGATGCCTCAGCTCATCGTTGTTGCACAAGATATCCCTGTTTGCGATTTAGGGTCTGTAGTGTTCCTTTAAAGAAGTACTATAGGGGCTCATTTACGAGGTTTGATGAGGGTACGATAAGGGCTGTATATCACTAATCTGTGTCACAAATCAGCTTCGTTTGCTTTCCCAGTCCGCTCATCCTGTGAGTAAGCCCCAGACACCCCTGCAAAGACCTTGGCCAACCCTAAACCCTAAACCCTAAACATCATCCAGGACGAAGTACCTGGGAGTCTTCCTGTACTGTGTCTTCGTGGAGATGCCCGGGCGCCCATTACATATGGGAGGTTCCGCAAATTAGGGGTACCTTACTTTGGGGTCCTTATAATAAGGATCCTACTATTTAGGGTGCTATATTAGGGTCCCCTATTTTTGGAAACCCCCACATATCGAGATCTGAATCAGTAGCAACAGTCTGCTCATCGTCCCTATGCGCTTCTGCTATGATGTGCCCCTCCCCTAAAGCCTAAATCGTGGGTCAAAAAACCCTCCCCCTCGTCCTGCAAAAGAACCACATCAGTGTTCGGAATACTAAGCATAAAGATGATCATCATCCCAAAGACGGTAGCGCAACACAATAACAGAAGTACTAAAAACATGCCTAAACCCTAAACCCTAAACCCTACAAAAAGCCTTACACCCCCAACCGTAGACCCAGGACCCTTTCACGCGTAAATCCTATAAACCCTAAACCCCTAGACCCCGAAACCTAGACCCAGGACCCCTTTCAAGCCTCAATCCTATGAACCTAAACCCTAAACCCTGAACCCTAAACCCCCGACCCTAAACCCTAAACCCTAAACCCCCCACCCCAGACCCAGGACCCCTTTCAAGCCTCAATCCTATGAACCACGGAGCTGGCAGTCTCGAGGTTTGCAAAAAAAAGAAAGAGAAAACCCGAAAGCCCTAAACCCGAAAGCCCGAAATCCCTACATCCAAAGCCCTGAAACCCTTTAGGGTTTAGGGTTTAG